AACTCCTGCCGTCAAAGTCGAGGGGGTACATTCCAAACGTCGCCAACAAACGCGTGTTCAGGCATGGTACATGTGTCGTATGATGTTGCTTTCTCTGACAAAGCAAGCGTCAATTCACCGACGGGCCACGACAACGCAAGTGTGACACAGAAAAGTCATGCTCGGAACCTGAACCGCTCTTAGAACGACAAAGCTGCATCTGTTGAGCTAGACAAGCAAGAGCGTGAAAAAGGTTGGTGGAATCTAAGAGCTACGGCAATGCCGACCGGAAAACGAATCGCGTGTGCGTGCCAGGCGAGTACCCCGCGGTGTACAACGGAGCACCATCGGAGTGTCATTATTCCTTCTGTGTTGGGACATTGGGTCTGTTTGTCTGTCCGTCTGTCTGTCTGCCTGTCTGCCTGCCTGTCTGCCTGTCTGTCTATCTGTCTGTCCCTCTGTCTGCGGGGAGTTGATAAGGACGCAGACTTTTCCTCGTTCTTGTTTTCAAGAACACCGACCGATGCAGAGACGGCCACAAGCGACCTCCTTACACTCAACAACAAGCAGCTGTACCAGCTATCAGCTCAACCACGTCGACAACAATAACGATGATTCTCTGCACCTGTCTCAACGATGGCCACGACTCTCCACACCTCTCTCATCTCTCAGCCATAACCGTGAACACCTACGCGTATCTATCTCAACCAGGAACAGGAAACGTGTCTGCAAAATAAATGAGCGATCACCTTGTCAACGTTCTTCTTCCACATCATTACCGCATCGAGCACCGAGCCGTCTTGGAGCGAGAGGAGCGTCACGATCTGCAGAACCCACTGCCTCCACCTACGATTGACATCGACATTGACCCGTTCGAACACACAAGCGGATAAGGTACACGACGCGGGGCCACATAGCTATCCGAGAAGCACACGAAAATGACAGGATTTGGCGATTGAGCATGAGGTTGGTCACTCGGTAGGAGGCGAAAGATGCGGCCAAAGAGACTGCAAAGACTAAGACTCTAACCCATGCCCTTCGACTGCTGTGGTATTACATATCTCGAACGGTTAGTCTCTCTTTGAATAGTCTCTCTTTGGCTGTACGTACTTTTTCAAAGGAAGAGGAGTGACACTTGGCAAGGCCCACACTGGTACACTAAGAGAGAGAAGGTCAAAATACACCAATCAACGCGAAACGAAGGTGATGAGGAACGAGACGATCGTGATGAGGAATTCGAGAAGCTATGGAAGATGAGAGACATCACAGACAAAACATGACAAGAAGAAGTACACACGAGGTGCGAAGCGACAGGCAAGCAGATAGGTATACCCGTGAGGCGAGCGAATTCCCGGGCTTTCCTCAGAGTTTCGAGGATGCACGCAGGCGCCGGGATTCTATTCTGGGTCGGATTACCAATACCAGCTGCTTCACCGGATCTGTGTAAGCCAGCAAGGCAGTTACAACAACCACCCAACCCCCACTACAGCAACAACAACAGCAATAACACAACACATACCGGCTCTCGGAGACCCCCATCCTCTTGCTGCAGGTGACCTCGACATTCCTCAGCGGGTAATCCGGCGGCAGCTGAATGACGGCCTCCAGCGTGCACTCCTCCTTCAGGTACGAGGCTACCACCTGATGGGTTCATGTTGACAGTGCCATACATGTTTACTACCGTGGCCCGTGGCAGTGGCATACACTTAGACTGTTTCTTCTAGATTTGAGATGAACTTGCTGTGGATACCACCTTCATAAAGGTACTATTTCCCCAACGTCTGTTGAGGACGATTCCTTCTTTTCACATTGTTGTTGAATCTAATATGAACTTGATGTGAACCGACTGGCGTCATCTACCGCATGGAAGGAAGGGGCTAACCAAGCAACTCGTCTCTCAATGATTTATATCGCCGGCACGCAGAGAAGAAGAAAATAAGGGAACAAGAAGGGGAAAAAAGGGCAAAAAGGAGCAAAAACAGGCCAGGAGGGAACAGGGAAAACGTTCCACTGGTGCTCCCAACTTGAGCACACGCCCAAAACTGAATGTATCAAAAGAGCGCGCTGTGCTACTAGCCTACATGTAGAGCTTCAACAACAGTGATTGAATCCCGGCAAAACATTCGGCAGACAACCAGACTATTCTACTGAACAGCACTTGCCTGCCTGGAGTTAGCACTGGCCCTAACACTCATCTCCCCGCCGTCATCCCAGACCCCCTTGTCTGTGGCGCTGGTGATGATCTGAGCCTCGATTTGGATGAGTGCGGGGCTCACGTGTCTGTATTCCGTCATGACACCGACGACAACGGACACGCACAGTAGTAAGAGAGAGAGAGACAGAGAGAGAGCGAGCGAGAGAGAGAGAGAGAGAGACGCAAGATGCACACCGCGCCTAATAGTGGTTCTGAAACGTTTCAGCTGTAGCAACCACGCTTCGAAATAGGTACACAAGATGCGGTAGCCCTGTGATTAAAAAAAAAGCAACAACAGCAAAAAACTGCAACACGAAGGAGAAAAAACACGGTCTCCTGGGGAGCACCTACCCCACCGACCTTAACCTTGCTATGCGTAGGCTGAGATTCCTGACAATGTAGAGTGCCCTACAGCGGCGGCTTGATCTCACTTTCCCTCAATCAGTGCCCCCACCGTTCCCCCCTTCCCCTAAAGAACTCCCTAACGATTTTGTAACACAAGTGCAAATCAGTACTGTACCTCGTCTGGACATTTCGTTTCCCGCAAGTGAGCAGTGCGAGTATCTCTCATAGGTGATTCGAGTTCCTAAATGGGATCACACGAGCACTGTGCCTTCGCTGGGCGTGCGGGTACATACCTCTAATTGACCGTTTCAAGTACCTCTAATGGACGGTCACAACACACCGAGTTCATGTGTACCTCTTGATTAGGCTGTACCTCTTCGTGAAGTCACAATGCATCTAGTACATGTACCTCTTGATCAGGGTATACCTATTCGTGAGGTCACAACACACCGAGTACATATGTACCTCTTGATGAGGCTATAGCTCTTTGTGAAGTCACAATACATTTAATAGTACATGTACCTCTTGATCAGGCATCCGGTCTTTACCTCTTCGTGAAGTCCGCAACCCACACTCGGAGCCCTCTGGCACAATCATCCGACCACCAGGACCTGCTTAGAGCCGGGAACACGTGCACCGTCCTGCAAACGCCAACCGGAGGTTTCCACATGGTGCCAACACAACACCGGGAGGGGCGGCGGGGACTCGTGAGCATGCATCCAGCTCCTGGCATCGCCTCTTTCGCTTCAGGTAGTGTACGACTTTTTTCGGAACACGTGGCGGGCCTAGATGCTGCATGCACGCGATGATGCTGGGCTGTTTTTCTCATCGGTTGCGTCGCAGTATCCGCTGCGATTACAAAAGATGAGGGTTGTCCTCAGCAATAGGTCTCTATTTATTCTTTCTAAGGAACCAGGGCTACTGCTGTATGATCAGCCAACCCCCTCGTGCATCAAGACGACACAACGGTGTACACCGCCAGGACTTTGCGATTTCAGTACCTCTTCCTGCTGCACCGAAAATGCATGCGAACACTAGCGTGAATGAGGCAGGCTAACCAGCCAAACCCATGCTGTGCACTACGCTACGGGAACACAAGGATTTTTCTGCCGCGATAAACACACTCTTGGGGGGTCCAGGCACCAGGTTTACCTGAAGTAGACGGCGAGGGCCAGACGGGCTAAGTCATGCGGCTTGCGGGGGTCGAGGCGAGACACCCGGACTGCTTGGGCGGGGCCCAATCTTGACGCCCCCCCGATGCTGCCGCTGCTACTCCTGCCGCCTTCGTCCTGGGAAAGGAGGAAAATTTAACGTTACGAGGCAAGCCAAGCGGAACCACGACACGGCACGAGCAAGAGGCAGGGTTAGAGGGACAGGGGGGGGGGGGGGGGGGGGTTTACCATAGTCG